AGGCATGGAAAGACAAGACACCAGCTGAACTCTCTTAGTAATTAGAAAACAAGCCTGCCCCTTGTCAGTGCAAGTTAATATCAGCTGGTTCAGTCYCAAATGATGGCCAGGTATCACACAAGAACCATCTGATGATGGGTAAAAATAAAGAGCTCTCTCAAGACCTTCACAACCTTATTGTTGCAAAGCATAATGATGGCATCGGTTACAGAAGAATGTCTAAACTTCTGAAGGTTCCAGTGAGCACTGTTGGGGCCATAATTCAGAAGTGGAAAGAACATCATTTCACCATAAACCGACCRYGACCAGGTGCTCCTCACAAGATTTCTGACAGAGGAGTGAAAATAATTATCAGAAGAGTTGTCCAAGAGCCAAGGACCACTTGTGGAGAGCTTCAGAAACACCTGGAATTAGCAGGTACGATTGTTTCAAAGAAAACAATAAGTAATGCACTGAACCACCATGGCCTGTATGCACGCACACCACGCAAGACTCCACTGCTGAAGAAACAGCATGTTGAAGCTCCTTTAAAGTTTGCTGCACAACATTTAGACAAGCCTGTGTAATACTGGGAGAATATAGTCTGGTCAGATGAGACCAACATTGAACTGTTTRGATGCCAGAATACACATCATGTTTGGAGGTCAAATGGCACTGCACATCAGCCCAAAAACACCATACCAACAGTGAAGTTTGGAGGTGGGAACATCATGATGTGGGGCTGTTTTTCAGCATATGGTACTGGCAAACTTCAAATAATTGAAGGAAGGATGAGTGGAAAAATGTACAGAGACATTCTTGATAAAAATCTGCTTCCATCTACCAGGATGATGAAGATGAAACGTGGCTGGACATTTCAGCAAGACGGTGAGCCCAAACACAAAGCCAAGGAAACTCTCAGTTGGTTTCAGAGAAAGAAACTAAAGCTGCTGGAATGGCCCAGCCAATCACCTGACCTGAATCCAACAGAAAATCTATGGAAAGAACTAAAGATCAGAGTTCATAGAAGAGGTCCACGAAACCTTCAAGATTTGAAGACTGTTTGTGTGGAAGAATGGGCCAAAATCACACCTGAGCAATGCATGCCACTAGTTTCTCCATACAGGAGGCATCTTGAAGCTGTCATTGACAACAAAGGCTTTTGTACAAAGTATTAGATAAATTTCAGTGAGTGTGTTCAATACTTTTTCCCTGTGCCATTCCACATTATTACAAATAACTTCATTTCTGGACATTTATGGTTTGATTTCTTTGTATGTATGGATCACTTGGGTTGTTACAGACATCTGGTGAGAATTTCATGTCATTAGCACCTCTAGTAATATATTTACTGAGAAAAATGTTGATGTGTTCAATACTTATTTTACCCGCTGTATATAGTTTTTGACGTAAAGCTGAAGTTAATTATTCATGTTTACTAAGAAACTCTTGGAAAAGTTATATTAAAACTACATTACACTTTGAAAAATAAGCAAACCTACACTGACAACAACTTGGAAGGAGTTTGGATTGTTCACAAAACTGTTATAAATGCAATATTTATTATAACTAATAGAAAAACAAACAACAACAAAAATTCTAAAAGTATGAAAAGGTTAGTAAACACGAAAAAATGCTGACATATTAGAAAAACAAAATTAGACCAAAAAATACAGAATGAAATGATTACACAAATAAACAAAATGACTGTAAAGAGATGGCAATCAAATTAAATGAATTTTAAAAGAACTGTAGAAAAATTGCTCACAGCTAAATTAAATTAAAGCTAAAATAAAAATGAGACACAAAGCAGACATAAAAATCCTTTTAAGTGTCTTAAAGAGACTCATTATGATGATAGATTCATGCAGAGCATCACAATAACACAAACATTTCATATGAAAAGAAAATATTTTTCATTTTTTTCTCTGTGTGTTTCAGTTTATTTGAGAGGTCTGAACAGAAATACAGAAGATTATAATTAATCCATGAATTAATTTATTTTCTTCAATCTAAAACTCATCAGTTTGACATTAAAAATACAATTAAATGTTGATCCCAATGATACAGACAGGTTTTAAAGTTTAAACGTTTTATTTCTGTGGCACTAACAGGTCAGGAGGTGGTCTTTGGCCTGAAATGTACACATTAGAAACTGTTTAGATTCTGAGCAGTAACTTATTAACACTTTCTTTTAAGTTACATATTTAATTACTGGGTAGCACATTTCACAAGTTWGAACCCTGACTGCCAGTGCACTTTTTATTTAAATCAAGATCTRAAGAAACCTGAGGTCAAAGAAGTTTGAGTCACAGTTTGCTGTGACACCAGCCAGCAGGGGTCCTCAGAGCGCCGTGTGGTGATGGATCAGGTTAGAAAAGAAAGGGTCTGTTGTCCACACTGCAAAATATGATTGAAACTTGAAAAACAGATAACAAAATACATTAAGTTTGTACAATTCCAACTTATTTAAAAAAATTATTATTATAATAACTATATAACTTCATTAGACTATACTTTATAACTTTAACTAT